ATGCCTGGCGTGGCACCAAGTGAGTGTTTGATGGCGGGAAGCTGTGTCGATGCGTGCGTGGCTGAGCCCGCGGATCACGAGACGCAAGCATATGTAGCGAACATAATCCACAACTGCAGGACTGGGCAGGGCGGAATCACCTTCACTGAATCAGAAAGTAAGAAATAAAGAGGCGATCCCTTTCTCTGGGGATGATTATGAGACGCGTTTGACGTTAACGAGAGCGCGTGAAACCTGTTCCGAGACACGAAACTATTGTTGCTCCTGTTTTGATCCCGTCACGAGAAACATTAGCAAACATATATGTGCGTGTAATTGGCGTTGTAAATCAATAATAATGTTCCTTTTATAGGCAAATTATGTATTTAGTCTTTGATGCATGAACTTCATTTTCACAGTTCGCTCCCCATATTAATATCTTGTAATATGACATATCTAAACCCGAGACTGCTTTGGTCGTGGCTCGGCGACACGACAGCGGAAAGCGAAACAAGTGGCCTGGAAATCCTTCGGAGAAAGCAAGAATGAGGGGGAAGAGGGGGGAGGGGGAGGAAGGAGAGGAAATGCGGGCCATGTTGGGGCCGAGGAATACCCATGAGGGAGCTGATGGGAAGTGTGGTTTGCACAGATTTGCGTTGGTGCAATGTTCTCCAGCCTGCAAGAGACAGAAGGAGCGACGCACGACACTGCCAGCATTGTTGCATCCCGACAGAGGACGGCGGGTTGACGGCACAGTTGCTGCTGCACTTTTAAATTGCAAAGGATTTCTGCACTTGGGGTCATGTAGAGCTATTGCTCCTCGGAGTTGCAAAGCGCTTTTGCCTGTAAGCTTTGTAAAAGTTGCAGTGCTTTGGAGTTGTAAAGGGATGATGTAGTTTGCACTTGAGTAGGAAAGCAGACATACTGTGATATGCAACGTGAACTGATTCTCTTTGATCTCAAAAACTAATCTGATGAATTATTTAAAGTGCGATCGAGTCGCTCAGAACCGGTTTAGACGACATGTCACTGAACCGTGGAAATTTTCATACGTTGGGCGAATCGGGCGCCGCTGGCCGGCAGTCGGATTCCCTCGCCCGAGTGGGAGGAGAAACGGAGGAAATAACGGAGAGGCTTAAAGTAAAGAAACAGCCGGGGAGAGCGTAAACAGACACGCTCACAATAAATACAGATCTTTGTGAACCGGTTTTATATTGTATGGTTCTCTCAGCCTTTTTGTACATCCTTTACATATTCTGTATTTCGACGTCACTCAACACTAACACCGCTTATATTATGTATGAAAGATTCTTGTTTCTTTGTTACTTTGTATTGTTTTCTTTCAACCTTACCCTTTCATCAGTACATCTTTTATGCATCCCAGTCTTCCGCCTTACGTAGTAATGACAACACCCCATCCCCCCCTCTCCCCGCCTCCGACGCGAGGTCCTTTCTCAACGGCGTCTCCTCCCCAGGATACGCGAGGACCGCAGCCGCGAGGACCGAGTGCTGGGCCTCGACCGCGACGAGCCCGGCGACCGCCCCACGTCTCCGCACAAGACCAATGGTAAGTTAATGGCGCAATGCCTCTTTGATATATGTGTATAATGTGTTCCCCTAAAGGCATTGGACTCTCTCATGTCCTGGCGGGTCGAGTGGCTGCGTTGCTTTAGCGTCACCTGCTTTCGGGTGGGTTGGAATCCCTCTCCGGGGGAAAAAGGGACAGGGCTTCTGTGGGGTCATGGAGGGAAATTCGGGGTCAGGACGCTGGCTTTGACGCGGCCACTTTTGCTGTTTGCTAGGGCTATCAGGGTTTGCTTGCATTTCTTGGTGGGCGATTGGGTGCCGGGGCAGTGGGCGGGAAAAGGTGGGGACGGTGGGGGGAAGTGCCCAGAGCGGCCTCCTGGCTGACGGCGACTTCCACTAACGCCGAGGTCTCCTCCTCCAGGGTACGGAGAGAGCGACGTCCTCAACCTGAGCAGCAAGAGCGATTCCCGAGACGACCTGAGCGACGCCCCCACACCGAGGGACGACCGCGACGACAAGGACGAAGCCCTTTCCGACGCCGAGGATCTGGACGACAAGAATGGTATGGGTGATCTCGCTTTGTTTCTCTCTCTCTCTCTCTCTCTCTCTCTCTCTCTCTCTCTCTCTCTCTCTCTCTCTCTCTCTCTCTCTCTCTCTCTCTCTCTCTCTCTCTCTCTCTCTCTCTCTCTCTACACCTATCTTTCTCACTATCCCTCTCGCTCGGTCCCCTTTTTCCTTTCCTCTCTGCCCCTTCTCCTCTTCCACACTCATCTTCTCCATTCTTTTCTTTCATTAAATATAAGATGAAATGAGTTTGCACTACATGCATTGGCTCTTCTTAAGCAGGCACTGATTGACAGATGCATAATATGTATCGTGTTTCCTTGCGTCACGACACACGTGCTATATCCCAAGGCCTCATCGGCATAGCCAAGCATCAGTCATGTCATGTTAGTGCCTTATGCCACGCGTGTTCGCTGTCGCCAGCATAGGC